TCTAAATAATTTCTTGCTTCTTTCACTGGTTTCATAATACTTAGTAGTTTTCTGAAAACTTTTTCATGGACTAAGGTGAATTTGATAGATATTTTAAACTGTATTACTAGAGTTTTTAATTCTGATTCATTATGCTGCCTTTGTCAGATTTTTTTTTGCTCTTGAAGTCTTTTGCTCCAATATAATTTCAACTTCAATTTTATTTTAGCAGCTTGTTTTTTCTCTTGTCAAACTTGCATCTTTTTCTTTTTTTCTTTTATTTTTCTTCTTTTTTCTTGTTAGTCTGTTGTAGTAGTCTTGACAGATTCTTTGAATTAATATACTGTAGACTTTAGAGCTGTTTTGTTGTGCTATCTTTGTCAGCTTTTTCTTTGTTCTTGGAGTCTTCTGCTTCAACCTACTTCAAGTTTCAACTTTAATTCAGCATGTTGTTTTTCTCTCTCTACTAATAATCTTTGAATTCTATCAGCTATTCTTAATTCTACTATATAACCAACAATTTCTTCCATTATAATATAGTTAACTATATTTTTTTTTTTTGTATTGCTTCATGAAAAGTCTTCTGTTCTCTTTCTATAAGTACAAGTTCTGTGTACTCTAGTTTTTCTATGTTATAATACTATAATTCTTCGTAGAGCTCTACTATTCGCTCTTCGGCTATTTTCTTCAGTATAAGTTCTTGCTTAGCATATTCTGTAATTATTTTCTCTACTTGTGTATTTATTGTTTTATCAGTTATTGCTACTTTTAAGCCTTGGATATCTGCTATTACTTCTTTCATACCTGGTATATCAGAGTTAATATAACTTTGTCTATATATTTCTATATCTTCACATAATTCTTTTAATTTTATCTTTATTAATTCTGCTAAGATGGGTTTTTCTAAAGCATTTTGTTGTTTTTTTTGCTTCATATAACTTGTTATTTTTTGACTTCTGTTGTTTATTGTTGTTGTTTGTTGTAGTTGTTTACTATTTTTGTTTATCTTCGTCATGTGGTTTTTATTATATTTTTTTGTTTACTTTTTATTGTGTATTGTGATTTTTGTATTACTAAAACAGATCTGTAATACAGGGTCAAGGTCAATTCCCCCAAAGTTCATAAAGTGCAAAAAAATATCAATGATTTTTCATGACTTCTTCTATTTCTTTATTACTTCTGCTTTTTTACTCAAGTTTTTTAAAAGACTAAGTATTTCTTGTTGTCTTCTTCCTTTTTACTTAGGGGTTCAAAATTAGTTTCTAGTAACTCTTGTGTATTTTTGTAGTTTTTTTGTTAATTTTTGTTTTCAGAATTTTGTGTTTTAATAATTAGCAGAAAGAGTTCAATTTGAATAGAATAACTATTGATGATTATTCTATATACAGTATATAATTTTGACTAATAGTTAATTACAAATAAAGACTATTAGAAAATGTATAAATGAATATAGATATATAATATCATGTGTAGTATAATTAATTTATTAGTAGCAGATACTAATTTTAAAGAATATAATACAATATATAAATATATTACTTTTTTTTCATATTAATGTAAGATCATATCTCTGGTTTTTATTAACAAATAGCTTATATTTCAATTACAATTACATATACATTAATTTTTACAAACTACAAAGACTTAGACTAATTTATCTGTAATCTAAATCTACTAGAATAGTCTATACCCATATATATATTATCTAGATTTATACTTCACAATTAACTATTTTTAGTAATCATGATATTTTTCTATATTACATATAACTAGTTATAACTTTCAAGTTGGTATATCAGATATCTGCTTTTAATAAGCTTTCAATTTGGTATATCTACAAATACAATCTATTGCAAGTCTTCTTACAAATCCTATTAGTATAATCGTAATTGGTACAAGTAACCTTTTTATAGTCTTATATCTCAAGTCAAAAACTTGCTATCTAGTTAGATTTGCTATATAGCAAAGTTGATATTATATTGCCAGATATGCTAATTGGCAGAGACTTTTCTACTTATCTGCCTAAGTACTACTAACTTATATCTTAAGTCAAGTTCTGCTATCACTGCTGATTTGCTACCCCAAGACTTAATATTCTCTTTCTAATATAGTAGTACTAACTAATCTATTTGTACTTCTTTATATAATATATTATCAGAACTATATTTTATAAGATCAAGACAAACCTGGTTCTACTTATAATCATAGACCTTGCATTATGTTATTAGAAGACATACCTTAATTCATATTAATTTTCAACTTGAACTTTCATCTATTGGTTGGTATTGTATTATTGTTAGTATATTCTGACTTCTTTATTATAGACTTCTATATAGTTATAATCAAAGCTCTAACTTGATGCTTTTAGATATACTAGATTAGCTAGTCTGCCTTTATGAAATTACCTTCTTCAGTTAGTTATTTCATAGTACCAGAGATACTTCTAATTCAAATAAAGCTAATCCTTTATCATAGCTTTTTTATATATCTACCATTTTCTTCACTACTTCAGTTTTAATAATATTTTATCACTCTCTTAAGCAAATACTCAATGCTAATTAAAATTAAACTAATATGCATAAGCTGTTAATTATCTTTCTAAGCAAGTACTTTACAAGTTGGGTACAGAAATATTGGTATTGCTTAAAGTAAAAGTAAAGAAATATTGATGTTGCCTTCAGGTCACCCAATTAAAGAATTTACTTGTATAATCTTTTACAGCCTATATCTTTTATAATATTGTTACATATAGCGACAACACTTTACGATTAGAGCTTTTTCTGAAAATTTTTATTTCAGAACCATACTTGCATTTGGATTTTCTACAGAGCTTCATATCTGAAATAGCACTCTTATTATTTGGCTCACAGAGGATTAAAAATTACAGATTTTATATCTCCAAATAGATCTGAACTATTGACTTTGTTTGTGAGATTTAGAAGCTTAACTAATAAGCTATAAAGCCCAAACTCTTATATGGGGGGAGTCAATAGAAAAGGAACAAATTTTTTCTAAGTAAAAGTTTTTTTAACTTTAAACTTAAATATCTCAACTATCTAATCAAATTTAATAAATTTTTTTTTTATTTTAATTCTATATAATTTCAAGATCAAAATAAAAAAATTTTTATCAAATTTGATTAGATAGTTGTTAAGATATTTTAATTTAAAAATTAAAAAAATTTTACTAAAAATGATTTGTCCCTTTTCTATTGACTTCCCCTCATATATAAATATATTATATATAATTATATATATATATAGTATTCTATTTGATTGACTCTTTCTCTAGGCTGTTTTAATAATTTACTATATATTATTACAAGGTATAAAAGAGTTGGATAAAAAATTAACATAATATTATATATTTATACTTATTCATATATTTTCTAATAATCTTTATTTGTAATCGATTATTAGTCAAAATGCATTTCACTTGTATTGATATATAATATCACATATAGATTTTATAGATATACTTAATATTAAGATTTTGCTTTGTTCAGAATTTGGGATGAAATTTTATTTTATTCTAATATTTTTTTGATATTTCTTTGATAAAACCTTTGGTATATAGTATAACTAGACTAAGTTTCTAATACTAGAAATATAAATATATCTGCTTTAGTATTATATGCTAATAGGGTCAATAATGATCTAACATCTTTAGCTTTTGCATTAGAGTTTGTCTGTGTCAAGATATCTTTTAATTACTAAGAAATTATATCTACTAATGCTAGATAATAAAAAACTATGGTGGTTAAAACAAGTGATTTTGTAAGTTTAATGAATATTTTTATTCTTGTGTTTAATCAAGCAATTTTAATACTACTGATATAGAATATAATATTGTATTTTCATAATAGTCAATGAAAATTTTTTTGGTCATAAGCTTGTTGCTACTATATAATATTAAAATATTTGTCTTCTTGGGATTAAAGATTTTAAATAAAATTTCAGTATTTAATTTTTGTAAAGTGCTTAATACTATTCTATAAAGATTACTAGATCTAAAGGCTGATTCCAATACAATTAAAAAGGTTGTCTTGTATGAAAGATTAGTATTGATATATTGTTGTTAGAGTCTAGACTAATTATGAAGTCTAATATAGAAGCTATATTTACTGTATTATCCGAAAAAGAAAGAGAAGAGTTTGTTTTTCATATTACTATTATAAACTTTGCAATATCTAGGTGCTTCTCTACTAAGTACCTATTGATATAGCTATAGATTTACTTATTGCTAATCTGTAAGAAGCTATTGTGTTATATAGTATCTTTTGTTAGTTGCATATATTATTTAAAAATTTAACTATATTTTCTACAGAACAGTATATAAAATTGTTATTTCTTTTATAACACTAAATATACTATTTGTTAATTGTAAATCTGATTGTAGAGTTTGATAATTTATTTGTTGTATTTTCAATTCTTTTAATAATCTTCTCTGAAAACTTCTTTGCTTGTAGCTTCATTTTGGGTTGGTTGATTAATAATAAGAATAGGACTATATATGTCAAGAAAAGAATTGGTAGATCTATCAATAAATATATTAATAGAGAAAACCAAAAGACTATTTTTTAACCCAGAATTATTAGACAAAAGATAGCTTGGTCTGTTAATATCTTGAATAGTATCTTTGGAATAAGTATCTATAGAGTTTGCCTATAATATTTTTTTGGTCAGACCTGCTTTAATATGTCTGTTAATAAGGCTAGAAGGTCTGAAAACCTTGAATAGAAGCTCAAAAGCTGAGTATTCTTTCTGTTTGTAAATAGATTGATTATAAATAAACATTATTTTTTCCTCAACTAGTTGAATATTTTGTGGTTTAATTGCTAATCTTGTTGTTTGAATCTATATTTAAAAGATTAATTAGCTTAAATATTTAGTCTGCTTGGTAGATATTGTACAATTAGTTTAATCTTTTTTTTTAGACAAAGATCTCATATATTTTTTACTAACAAGCTTAGCTTTTGAGATATAGTATTACTTTAATAGTTTAAATAGATTATAGCAGATCTGTTGTTTAATCTTATTAGGATAGTTTGATCTTTGATCTCTTTGAATATTAGTAAAACATAATATAGGGGCTTTTTTTTTTTTTTTTTAATGTTCAAGGTGAAGCCATATAAGGGCTTTTTAATAGAAAGGAGAGAGATTTCTTCTAAGTAAAAGTTTTTTAAACTTTAAATTAAAATATCTTAATAACTATTAAGCTAAATTTAATAAATTTTTTTTTATTTTAATTCTATAAAATTATAAAACTAAAAAAAAATTTATATTTAATTCAGTAGTTATTGAAATATTTTAATTTAAAATTTAAAAAAAAGTTACTAAAAACTTTTTTCCTCTTTTCTATTGAAAAGCACCTATATTGCTTTTAGCTCTAAAATATTTATATATAGAATTCTCTGTAAATATGTCTAGTAGCTATAAATTATATTATGATTCATTATAGTAGCTTATTCTGTTAATAAAATATTTATACATATAATTATTGTTACCGTAAAAGTGCATATACAAGACCCAGGTCTGGTACATTCTACCAATTTTAAAACCTTTAATAGACCCAAGGGTCTGTTGTATAGACATTAGTCTGATAATCGGGGGAGGCTTTTATGTAGAGAAGTCAAAAACTTATAGAATTTATGTAATATATATGATGTTCTAATATCATACCGGGTTTTCTAATTATTGTTTCATATAATATACTCAGATCTATTTCATATTACCAAAATTTTTATCCAGGTTATAGACCCAGATCTGATTCACGATAAGTCTACTATTTTGGTAG